TAGTGGGAGGTGTCCCTGTCTATGGCAGGGGGGTTGGAACTCGATGATCTTCAAGGTCCTTTCCAACCTAAACCACTCCATGATTCTATGATTGCTGGCTCATGTTGAGCTTCTCATCAATCAGCACCCCCAGGTCCTTCTCCTCAGGGCTGTTCTCAATCTGTTCTCCTCCCAGCCTCTATTTGTGCTTGGGATTGCCGTGACCCAGCTGTAGGACCTTGCACTTGGCCTTGTTGAACTGCATGAGGTTGGCTTGGGCCCACCTCTCCAGCCTGTCCAGGTCCCTCTGGATGGCATCCTCCCCTCCAGTGTGTCTACCTCACCAGTACTAGCTTGGTATCATTGTCAAACTTGCTGAGGGTGCACTCGACCCCACTGTCCATGTCACCAACAAAGATGTTGAACAGCACCAGTCCCAGTACCAACCCCTAAGGAATACCACTCATAACTGGGATCCACTTGGACATCGAGCTGTTGACTGCAACTCTTTTAGTGGGACCATCCAGACAGTTCCTTATCCACTAAGTGGTCCATCTGTCGAATCCACCTCTCTCCAATTTAGAGACCAGGATATCGTGCAGGACAATGTCAAATGCTTTGCACAAGTCCAGGTAGATGACGTCAGTTGCTCTTCCCTTGTCCACTACTGCTGTAACCTCCTCGTAGAAGGCCACTGAATTTGTCTGGCATGACTTGCCCTTCGTGAAGCCGTGTTGGCTGCTACTAATGGCCTCCTCTTTTTCCATGTGCCTTAGCAGAGTTTCCAGGGGGATCTGCTCCATGATCTTGCTGCACACAGAGGTAAGACCAACTGGCCTGTCCCTGGGTCTTCCTTTTTTCCTTTTTTGAAAATAAGGGTTATGTTTCCCCTTTTCCTGTTGGCAGGAATCTCACCAGACTGCCACAACTTCTCAAATATGATGGACAGTGGCTTAGCAAATTTGTCTGCCAGTTCCCTCAGGACCTGCGGGTATATCTCATCAGGTCCCATGGACTTGTGCACCTTCAGGTTCCTTAGGTGGTCTTCTACTTGATCTTCACCTACAGTGGGAGACTCTTTGTTTTCCCAGTCCTCGTGGGCGGTTCTTTGCCTTCCCAGTCCTCACCTTTGCCTTCTGCATCATGGGTAGTGTTGCTGCAGTCTTTGCCAGTCAAGACTGAGGCAAAAAAGTCATTGAGTAGCTCGGCTTTGTCTGTATCCCAGGTGACCAGGTCTTCTATTTCCCTCTGGAGAGGGCCCACATCTTCCTTAGTCTTTCTTTTCTCGATGACATACTTATAGAAGGATTTTTTGTTTGCCTTGATGTCCCTGGCCAGACTTAATTCAATATGGGCTTTAGCTTGTCTAACCTGATCCCTGGCTGCTCAAACAATTTCTCTGTATTCCTCATTAGATAGATATCTGTTTGATTGTCCTTGCCCTCTGTAAACTCAAAAAGAGTTCTTTCATTCCCAAATCTTCACGATCTTTCTACAAGATCAGATATGACACACTAGGGCACCTGTGAGACCACCTAAAATGGAAAATTTCCTTTCCAAAAAAGTCCAGCCACTTTTTAGAATATCTAGAGACTTGCTTTCCCCTCTGCAGGGCTACTGAGTACGGATCCCCTCACTGCTAAACCAAGTGAGAGGCTCCAAGTTGTACTTGGAAAATTGAACAGTTCTGCCTCTCCTAGCCCACAGCTGCCAAGTGTTCAAATGCTGTCAGCAAGAGCAGGATGCAATTGATGGAAAACTTGCTGACATTGTAAGGAAGAGGCCAAATCAACATGACCTACTGCATGATGCACTTACTGATAGATTTTTTTTTTTTTTATTGGCTACAGAGATGCAAGAGAAGAGATTTGGGAAACAGAACTAGCTAATTCCCCATTTAAATTTTTTTCTTTCATTTATTATAAGCAATAATCTAGAAATTCTGGGGTTTCATTCCTTTTTAAAATCTTTTATTTTAACAGAACCTTTTTGTGCAGATTCTCTTGGATTATTTTCTTTTCTTATTGAAAGGAAAAATAACACCTTGCACTTGTTAATTTAGGATACTTCCCTTTCACCCTCACTCCTTCCCTGGTAATGTGCTATCTCATTGATTCTCTCAGTTATTTCCCCATCTACTACCTAGAGCTCTGCACACTGCCAGCACTCTGCAACAGGAGCCTTCCCCTCTTTTGTACAAATACCTAGAGTTTCCTTCTAGGCTGGACTGAGGGAGAAAGCAAGGCTAATTCTTGGTTTCTCATTGAATCTCTGCAGTCTCCTGGAGATCAAACAAAAGCATCATTCATGGTCCTACACGTCAGTAAGAGACTAAACAAATAAACATTGATAGACTTGCCTCTGTGCAAGCAGAATGAAGGGGCACAGACAGACATCTTTGTTCACAACAAGTTGCACATGTGTGGGGATACCCTTCCACCAAATACGGGTCAGTCTTTCTAGCCAGCACATCTGCAATTCATTATGTTTCTTACCTTCTGCCTGCTGCTGGGTATGAAAACGCTGAATCTGCTCGCCTCGGGTCACTGACATTGTACAAATAAGGCATTTTAACAGTTCATCTTCTTGTACTCCAAACTGACCCTGGGAAAGAGGAAATAGATGAGGACAGTCAGTAGTAAAACCCTATTCTACATGTGGGGATTGCATCTCCTTGCGTCTGTGCAACATCCAGTGTAATGGGATCATGATTCAGACTAAGGCCTTTGAGCTCCATTGCAAGATCAGCATCACTGTTAACATCCTGCAGCACTGCAGTCAGATGCAGGCTCTGAGATCTGCATTACCCCTGCAGTGACCAAGCTCACTCTTGCACTCTCTCTGAAATACTTTCTGTTTTGCTCTCCCAGTGCAGCCACCTTTCACCTTCTTTGGGAGCCACGCCAGTCCCTGCTGAGTGGTTTAATGACTTATTGAACAGCACCACACGGAGGTGACTGTGCAGGTGCTGAGATGTCTGAGTTTCAGCAGACATCAGAGTCACATGAACCCACAAGAAACAGGAAACAAAGGGAGTTCAGACACAACCGAACCCCGCAGTGATTACTTTCCCAGGAATTCCCCTCCCGTAGGCAAAAACAAGGAGCAGACTTGAAGAACCAAGACAGAGAAGTCGGCTGCTGAACAGATGTAGATGCTTGTTTCAGGTATGGTGTAGGAGGGAAACAGGCAAAGAGATGGGAGTGAAACCAAAAAGCAAAGGTGCTGGGATTTCAAGTAGGTCAACAGAAAAAGACATAGAATAGGCAGAAATATGATACACTTTTCTATTCTGTGTTCTAACACAGCAGGATAATGTATCCATCCCATATAATAAAAATGGGATGGTCCTGAGAATATGTACTTCTTAATCTGTGATAATTTCATGTGAAATAGTAGAAAGTTTAATTCTGGATAACCAACAAAAATTGACAGCAGTTAAGGTGGTATCCTTGGACAAGATCCGCTGAAAACACAGAAGTAGTGTTCAGATACTGCACACCTGAATTTTGTCAAGGCATCATCACATTTATGAACATATAACATTTAATTTCAAAAAAGCTTGTATTGTATGAAGTCAACAAGGCAAATATGATACTGCCATATGCAAGACACTGTTTCCAGACACACAAGAAATAAAAGCTGGGAAATGTCTCTTTGGGAATGAATAGCAGTGGACACAAATGCAGTCATGGGGTCAAACTGTGCATTTCTGGAAAAAACTCCTTTTTGGAGGAGCCTTCACGTTCTGAGGCAGAAACACCTTCTGCCATCTCTGGCAGGAGCAGCTCCTGCAGTCACACTGCCAGTGGGAACCAGCGTCATATCCATAAGGTTTCTGTCACCTCTTGTGACTCACCGCTGCAGCCTTCAGCCATCCCCAGGAGGCTTCACTCACTTTTACAGACCCATTCCTCTCCTCAGGCTCAAAGGTCACGTTGCCCAGGGACAACACACCAGCCAAGATAGCCTGCATGTCCACTTGCTCCTGAAACACAAAAGAAAGGTGACTGAAAACCTATCAGCATATAATATATACAAGACGGAGGCCCCAGAAGTTGGAGAGGTGAGGGAAAGGCACAGGCAGCCTGTGGGAAAAGACTCTACACAAGCCTGACAGACTCAGGTCGTTTGGAAGCAACGTGGAAAATCTAGAAAGGAGAGAAATAGGACTGAGCCTCAAAACAGCAGTGAGAAAGAAACCCTCTGCCTGCAGGATGCACAGGTGGAAACTAAATGACCCCAGAACTGACCTGTTCTTGGAAGCCCACCATGTCAAGGGCATTGCACACCTCTTGGTATTTTTGCTTCCAGCACTGAGCTACATCCTCTGTACCAAATCGTCCACTTATGTACCTGAAAAAGTATATATCCTATAGAAAACTGTCACACAACCAGCACAGCAAGTCAGTCCTGCCCCAAAGGAACAAAGCAGATCAGCAGCAGTGGAGACATGAAAGGAAAATAAACTTTTCCAAGGTGATGCAACAAAGAAGAGGCTCCAGACCTCCCAGCTTCCATGATGACCTATAAGATCTCTTCATGCAGCTCCATTCAGATCCCACTCCGGCTTCCTTTCATTTGTTTACCTGTACCAAGCTCCACGGATAGAGCCACAGGGCAGAGGCATAGGCTCCGTTATGCTGCTTTTCCCTCCACCCCCCATCATGAAGATTAAACTAGTCCTTGAAGTACCTGTAGAGTGAGGGATCCAATAGCCCATACATCTCCTTTTCCTCTGAAGACAGTCCAGCAAACATGTAGTAGAAGATATGGAAATTCCTCTCCCCGGTATCTTGTCGCACAACCCGTGACTTCTCTAAAAGGTACTCACTCAACTTTGCACCTCGCACTGCACACAAGAAGGTGACAGGGTAAACTTTGCACTTGGGGCTGAACTGAGCTGTCCCGCATCTCTTTTTCAGTGACAGGAGCATGGACTTGTCCAAAATAGCTTTCTTGTGTGCAACACCTTCTAGGCTGCCCAAGCACCCTGGAAGTAGGCTTCTGAATGTTTCATCCCATCATCTTAGAGATGTCTGCTCATCTGCTTTAGCAGCAACCAAGGCTTCTGGCACTGCAGAGTATTATTGATACTTCCCTTGCACTGTCACCCCCATATCCTTCCTGTACTCACACACTGTCCAAACCCAGGCCTTAAACTACAGCTGTGGTTGCTGTAAGATTTTACTTAATTGCATACACTTCCCACAAGGATTCAAGTGTCAAAATTTCACCCTCCACAAGTTCTGGCTACTCAGTCCACACCCTCCAGTACCTAATCATCCCCCCAAACTAGTAATTGCCCTTGACTTTACCTGTATTATTCTGGAAACGCAGCTGTATGTATTTTCCAAAGCGGCTGCTGTTGTCATTCATCACAGTCTGGGCATTGCCAAAAGCTTCAAGCAACGGATTTACCTAAAAAAAGGGAGCAAGTAGAACAAGCTTTTTTCAAATTAAGTGATCCAATCTAACTTACTTGGAAACATTTAATTTTAGCATTTACTATTCAGCATTCAGCAGGTTTTGTATCTTGGATAAAGAAACTGAAAGAGGCAAATATCACAAGGACAAAGCAGCATGAGATGACTGAAAATAAGCACAATCAAACCGAGCTGATCTCAGTAAGATCACTGACTCATTCATTATGGTATAACAGATTTCCACAAAGCATCTGACATGGTATCACTAGATAATTTGACTGCTATACTACATCAATAAACAAGGTAAACATGGCACTCAGTAAATGAAGCATGATAATTTAGCTACTGAAATTTGTACACAGCATAAGGCTCAGGACAGTGAATTATAAAGCAACTAACAGAGCAATCATACCATCTTGGTAAACTGGACGCAAACAAGGTCAAACAGCAATTTTTCCATATTTGAGCAAAGAATGCCTGCCAACTGGAAGAATGATGCCTTAGGG